TTTTTTTTTTTTTTTTTTTTTTTTTTTTTTTTCACCAACGATGCCATACTATGCGGTAGCTAAAGGAAGAAATTCTGGTGTTTATTCAAACTGGAATGATTGCAAGAGTCAAGTGAATGGGTATAGTGGTGCTTCGTTCAAGAAGTTTGATACTGCTGCTGAAGCTAGCGCATTTGCGTCTGGTGGTGGTTCAAGTGGCAGTGGTGCTGGTCGTGGTGCTGGTCGTGGTGCTGGTCGTGGTGCTGGGTCATCGTCGTCATCGGCAGCGTCTTCTTCTTACGGAGGTGGCTATGGGGGAAGCTATGGAATCAGCTCAAGCTCAAAAGTTACCAAGCCATCCACCAGCAGCCCCTCCTCGTCCTCCTTCTCCTCATCCAAATCTCAACCCAAAACATACAAAATTTACGTTGATGGAGCATCAAGAGGCAATGGTCAATCCAAATCCGCACCTTCAGGCTATGGTGTCTACCACGGACCTGGAAACTCGCGCAATGCAGCAGTTGGGTTACACGAAGTTGACGATGTCAGCAAACACGCGCCAACCAATCAACGTGCAGAGTTGCACGCGATCAAACACGCATTGACTGACATAAAGTCCGATTTGAAGAGTGGCAAATCGTCATCAACCAAGTACGAGATCCATAGTGATTCGAAATATGCTATTCAATCAGTCAATGAGTGGAGTGACAAGTGGCTGAAGAATGGGTGGAAGACATCGACTGGGCAGCCGGTTGCTAATTCGGACTTGATTAGAGATGCGGTCCAGTTGAAGAATGAGATCAATGATTTGCATCGTGAGCGGAATTGGCAACCTTTGGAGTTTCATCATGTTAAGGGCCATTCTGGAGATGTGGGTAATGACGCTGCTGATCGGTTGGCCAATCAAGGAGCTGATAAGATGGCAAGATAGGGGATGCTTTGTTGATCTGATTTCTTGAAGAGATGCTGATAAGATTTGGCAAATCAGAGGTCTGCTTTAGTTAAAGCACTTTTTTTTTTTTATCTCACGGTTAAGTTGGTATTATACAACCTATATAATTCACTTTTATTGTTCTCTTTTTGTAAATCTTCCCAATTTGGCCATCTTGGCAATCGTCTTCAACACTCTCACCTGCTTGAAATGCCACTGCACCCCCCATTCCACTAACCAAAATGGCAAAAATCTACTAACCCAATGCAAGAAATACGCTCTGGCTCCATGGTACAAGTTGAACCCAGGATCTCTCCATCTCATCAAATCGCGCACCACTTGTTTAGCGTACTTTTGAGGCGACACATTCAAATCACGACTCATCATAGCTGATGCGTTTATGGAATCATAGACGCCAGGCACATCATAGTATGAATCGCCAATGGTACTGCATACGTTGGCGTCACATATGGCAGTGTCGACACCACCGGTAATGACTGAGTGGACCCTGACTCCAAATGGCGCCATTTCTCCATGTAAAGTTTGGGCATAAGCGTCAATTGCCGCCTTGGTTGCATTGTAAGCCGAGACCCACGAGAGTGGGACTCTAGCTGCCACTGACGACGTAAACACAATGGTTCCCCTGGTGTTGATCACCATTGGAGCAAACCATTTCGTCATGTTGATGTGGCCAAGCACATTGACTTGGAAAATCTTGTCCAATTTCTCCTCATCAATCTCAATGGCAGGTCCAGCAATCGAGATCCCGGCATTATTGTACAAAATCAGTAATTGGTTATTGGTGATTTGCTTGATTTTGGCATGGGCAGACTTGATGCTGTTGATGTCGGTGATGTCCAATGGGATGGAAATGAGACCGTACTCTTGTTCCAATGGCTTTTGGCCATACAAGACTGGTTCTGGAGAGCACCCAATTACTGTGTATCCGCGCTTCAGTAATTCGACAGCCAAATTGTATCCTATTCCGGAGGATGCGCCTGTGATTAATGCGTATTTAGGCATTTCTTGGGTATCTGTGCGTGTGTGTATGTGCGTGTGTGTGTAGAGGAGGGATAAAGAGAGGATCTAAATTTTGGACAATAGGTTTGTCAAATGAATTGGTGGTTATTATAGATAGTTGGTTATCATAATGTTTTCAGGATATCTTTCTTTTTTTACGTGCGGGGGAAGAACTGCGAAAATGGGCTCTGCTGTTAATTTTTTTTGATATTTTTTTTTTTGTTGAGTGAAACACATGTGAAGTATGTTCCTTTAGAAACAACTGGGTAGTAGTAGGTGGGAGAGATTAAGTTAGTTTTGCACTGCACTAGTAGAATGCTTTTGGGGTCAATCCGAGATGAAAGAGAATTGAACGCAGTTGTATTCAAGATCCACTGAATTACTGCTTTGTTTTTATCCTCTTGTGCAGAATGTGTGTTGTGACAAGTTACCGCTTTTTTTTTTTTGCAACTTCGACTAAAACTATCTCTCTTGTGTGTTCTTCTACGACAATAGTAACATCACTAATGGTAGGTACAGTTCATAGCTTTGAGTTTCTACTGTAAGCATGTTTTAGTTATATAATTGGCCACTACCCCTATGCCAAATTGAAAACAAAGTTTGTGTGTGCAAATTAATTTTATCAAAATAGTTGCAAAAAGAAGAAAACACCCGCTTTTCACTCAATAGTGCCATCATTGAAGTGGCAAAAACCAATCCTGAGCTACGTGGGGTTGAAGGTGTAGTCTGAAATAGATAAGCATAGCGTTACTTTACATTAGCAGGACGGTTGTGAAAATTACTCCCCGTGAAATTGATAGAATGGAAGTATATTCCAAAGTTTATGTACTCTTGAGATTTAAATTGAGAAATGATGCTGAAGGCTAACCTGCAAGCCAAGCAGTCTTGACAGGGAACGCCTACTATTTTGATATCATAGTGGCTATCACATGGGTAGAGTAGCTGAACTTGGTAGCATTTTCACCAACTTGCATTGGTACTGCATATTGACATACACTACCCCTATTTTTTTTTCACAATGTTTTCCTTGTTTGTCAGAGTAAGTACAGTCGTCGTTTTATTCTTTTATTTCATACTAGTGCGACATAATAATTCATACCAACGCGACATTTATTATTCATACTAAAGCGACATAAATTTTTCAAAC